ACCTCCTACTTTCTCTTCTAAGAGGTTCAATGTGTCTGGATTGATGTTGAGGTCTTTCATCCATTTGGACTTGAGTTTTGTGCATGGTGACAGACAGGGGTCTATCAGCAGTCTTCTACACACCCTCATCCAATTGTGCCAGCACCATTTGTTGAAGATGTTGTCTTTGCCCCATTGTATAATTTTAACTGTTTTGTCGAAAATCAGGTGTTCATAGGTATATGGGTTAATATCAGGATTTTCAATTTGATTCCATTGGTCTACCTGTGTATTTTTATGCCAATGCCAGGCTGTTTTCAGGACTATAGCACTGTAGTAAAGCTTAAAGTCAGGAATGGTGATGCCTCCTGAAGTTCTTTTATTGTTTAGGGTTGTTTTGGCTATCCTGGGTTGCTTATTTTTCCATATAAAGTTGATTATTATCCTTTCAAGGTCGGTGAAGAATTGTGGTGGGATTTGAATGGGGATTGCATTGAATCTGTAGATTGCTTTTGGCAAGATTGCCATTTTTACTATGTTTATCCTACCTACGTTGGCGAGGATATGGAGAAAGGGGAACACTCCTCCACTGCTGGTGGGAGTGCAAACTCATACAGCCATATACTCAAAGGATTCGCATTCATGCAACAAAGACTTCTGTTCAACTATGTTCATAGCAGCACTATTTGTAATAGCAAGGACCTGGAAGAAACCTAGATGTCCCTCAATTGAAGAATGGTTAATGAAGATGTGGCACATCTACACAATGGAATACTACTCTGTAGAAAATAATTAATGGCATCTTAAAATTCGCAGGCAAGTGGATAGCACTTGAAGAAACAATCCTGAATGAGGTACCCCATCACAAAAAGAGGAACACAGTATGCACTCACTCATATATGGATTTTAGACCTAGATCAAAGGATCACCAGCCTATAATTCACACCACCAGAAGAACTAGGATACAAGGTGTATTCTAAGAGATTCATATAAAGTCCCTCACAGAACTGAGAAGGGACAAGTCCCCCAGAGCTCATGGGAAGTGGGAGGGCAGTGAATGGAGAAGGAAGTAGGAGAAAATGAGGGGGAGGAAAGGAAAACATGTGCGACCAGGAAGATTGAGAGAGATTTAGAGACAGAGTGAGAGAACATAAAAGAGGGATCCAATATTGGTTTGAAGATAAAACTGAACACAAAGAAAGGTCTAGAGAACTACAAGACTGCTCCCAACTAACAATTTGAGCTTCCATGGAAACGCTATCATAAATGCCCTTTCAAAGAGTGAGATCAACAACTAACTTCTCCATGGAGCCCTCAACTAATGCCTGTTGGAAACAGGATCAAACACCCATACATAAACACTGAGTAGAACTAGAACCCAGATGCAGATGGAGAGGACAAGACCAGGCTGCAGAAACACATACAGACAGCTTACCTAAACAAGGAGAAGCTAATGGCCACTAGACTGATAGCTGGGAAGCCAGCATGGGACTGACTCAGGACCCCCTGAATATGGGACTCAGCCAGAAGGACTGAGAAGTCTAAGGGACCTCAGACAGTGGATCCAGTATATATCCCTGGTGCACAAAAGTACTTTGCGAACACATCCCCCATAGAGGGATAACTGCCTTAATCTAGAGACAGGAGAGAAGCCCTAGTCCCTATTTCACATGCATGACCTGTCAGATCTACATGACCCCAGCTGGATGGCATTCCCCTACATAAGGATTTGGGTTGGGGGGATGGGAGGGGAGGGTGGTTAGAGTGCATGTTTTAGCGCAGAGAGGGTAAAGGGGAGGGAAGAGGGAAGGAGGAAAGGAGGGAGGAAAGGAAGGAGGGAGGGAGAGGGAACTGGGATTGACATGTAAAATAATTAATTAAATTAAAAAGAAATGCTTTGACTCCAAAATTTAAGTTCAAAGACAAGTTACTAGGGAAAAGGATTTCTATTTTTGTTTCCACCGAAAATGAAAAGATATGGAATACTTCCAGACTAATGTGGTTTGATCTAGCCAGACTGCCTGAAACAGAGTACAAGGTGATCCTACATTCAAGATAGCTGGACAAATCAGTCTTACAGACTACATCCAGGATTTCTGAATCTTCTTCGAATCCCCCATGACAGTGCCCCTCACCAGCAGGAAGCAGTTTGGAAAGAACAACACCCAAATTCCCCAATATTATCTATAAATGTTTGTTTTCATTTAAATGGACTTTGTTGTATAAAATAAATTAAAAAAAATAAAAAAATAGGTAAAGCAAGGACTACATGGAGGGAATTAATAGTCAGATGTGTCTTTCTGTGGAAGTCATACCTAAGTAGAGCTAAATATGAGGAGAGAAGGACAAGAGAAATGTTGAGACAACAATGATAGATGACATAATTAAGAGAATTAAATAACACAGAAAGAAAGAAGGCCGATCATTGACATGAAAGAAGAAAGTCATAAATGCTGGGTGGTCCAGAACTTGGTTGTTTATTATATCACATGCAAGGAGATTTTGGAAACATTCTTTCCTAGAAGAGGGGTTACCATCCCAGCAACAGAAATTGGATATCATGATGCTCAGTCATTGACTAAACCCTTACATATTGTCACTCTCTACATACTGATCTATTTCCACCTTAGTATTTATTCTCCAGGATAATTATGTAATTAGGAGGCACATATATGTTCTAAAGAATATAAACTGAGAATCTAAACGTTTAGATGGTCAAAAATGGCACACAAAATTCACAGAAGTAGTTTCATTTACTTAAATTAATCCATACTCATATCAAGAGGCACAAATTATGTTCTGAGTACTTAATACTATTTATATTACATGACTTAATAAGTTTAAATATTGCTAATTTTAAACAATGGTAATTTGAATCATTTGTGTAAGAATGTTATAAATATTCTAGTATTAGATGATATTCTTGTAATGACTAAATGTGTTATGTGATTAATAACAACCATGATTATTATCATACTATTTTCCTGTGTATCATGCATTTGGCAGTCATGAACAATAAAAACATTGCTATATATTTTATATTACATATAAAATTTGTTCATACATATGACCAAGGGGTTAAAGTATAAAATCCCTGCTGTGATCAGAAGGCATGACTTTTTTTTCTTGACGATATATTCTTTGTATTTAATCACCTTTTTTCCTCATAATTTTCATTTCTTCAGCAAAGATTCCATAAAACTCATAAATAAATTTATGAAATAACCATTAATGCATTGATTTTATTAAATCTAATGTGCATAAATTATGATTGCATAGTAGGCTAATATGATAGGAAAAGAAACTCCTAAATCACACATGTCTATATAAATTATAAATTTTGTGGTTTGGGGGTAATATTTTTGTTTTGTACTTTTTTCCAAAGAACATAATAATATTATTTAATGTGTAATGATCTATTTTAGCTTGTAATGTCTAATCTACTTTTACTGTCTTAATGGTTGTATTTCATATGTGGCTCTTTCATGATCTTGAAAAGTAGTAATATCCTTTATTTAATTTTTTTTGTAACCAACTCCATTTAAATGAAACAAAAATTTATAGACAATATTTGGGAATTTGGTCATCGTTCTATCCAGACTACTTCCTGCTGGTAAGGGGTGCTGTCATGGGGGATTAGGTGATCCTACATTCAAAACAGCTGGACAAAGTAATAATATCTTTGACACAAAAGATGATTCCCACTTCAAATTTATAGTTTCTTATTATTTGACATAGAATTTTAAGTTTCAGAATAGAAAGAAAAAATACAACTATTCACCTGCTCTATTACAAAATAACTACTTAAAATATTTTATATAAAAATACATTATTTAGTTCTAGGTCATATACTACTATTTAAAAGTGTCATAAAAATCAAATTGAAGAGCATTGTACTCACTGCATTATTGACTCTATCATTATTTTGATATAAGTTATATTCTAAAAACATCAATTAAAAATACCACATTTTGTTACCATGTAGTCTAATTATTCTAAAGTTGTCTGTGTAACAGTTTAGCACATAATCTTCCATAATAATATGATAAGAAGTTTCAATTGTATATAATTTCTAATTCAATATAAACTAATATCACTTAATGATCTGTCACATGATAAGTACTGAATAGCAGAGAATTGCATCATGTTTTATGTATATATTTATGTAAACAGTGCAGGTGTTTACAACATCTGTGGAAAATAGTAATTCAAAGTGGTATCCAGTATTACTGTCATTTGGCTATCACAGTTTCAGTAGAATGGAAATAAAAACTTAAAATTTTCTGCACTTTTCATAAGTTACAAAAGCAATAATCTATTTATAAGTAAATGTTGACCTGCATTTAGATATTGTAGTTTTTCGTGAAAAGAACTGATATTTGTAGGTGGTAGCAAATTAATCTATGAAAATTCCCTAATTTGCTTTCCTTTGTATACAAACATAGAATATGTGAACCAACATGAGTTAATGTGTAACCCTGATTAATTCATACATTTTGTGTACAGTCCAATTCAGTATACTAAAGAGTCATCTTGGCAAAATTATAAAAATTTCAAAATAAAATACTTCATAGAATCTCAATCTGAATACTGTTAAAATATAAAGAAATATTTGCAAGTCTTTATGAAATCATCATGGTTTTTCTAGGTCTTAAAATTGGTATTTGTACAAAATCATGAATTTAGTATTGCATAGATGACTCATTTTTACATTGTAAAATAATGTGTAGATGAAAGTTGTGCAGATGGATGTATATGGCACGTTGAGAATATATATTAGATTACATAGAAAAATTCTGGAGGATCGTCTTAATGATAACAGTAGCAATGACTTGCAGTTGTACATGAAATAAGATTTATTTTGTCCTTCCCCTGCTCCTTGTTGAACTTGAAATGACCATGAATATGTACTTGAAATGATCATAATTCTACAAACAAGGACTCCTAACAGATAGATTGCCAAAGATGAGATTTCTACAGAAATCCTGCCATTTCTTGTAAATACAGCTTAATACCTTTTGCTTACTAGTATAGGGAAGCCTCAGTTGTTTGTTTGCATTGTAGAACCAAACATACATGCTAATCTTTTAAAACGAGGACCCAAGTCATTAAGGTAATCAAAATTATCTTCCTGATCAGTGGCTTTGGATCCTAAGGAGCTGAGAGAGCCAGCTGATGACCCAGTGCCTTCAAAGGCAAAGGTTTGCAGTGAGTCGAAGGGGGGAGCACATGGATCTGTGTTGGCTTCTTCCAGCTTCTCTAGGATGAATTTTCGGAATATGGCAGTGTCTGGGCCTACCTGCAAGGACTGTCTATAAAAGCTCCTGATCTCTGCACTCTTGCTCCTCCAAGACTTCCTTTCTCGAATTACTGCACTGCTTCTTAATTCTACAATATCATATGCCTCTGAGTCTTCTTCCCTACCACCTTCATCATCATAGCAAAATTTATTCTCTCCAAATTCTTCACTTTTCTCTGGAAATTGGGTCTGCTTTCTTCGTTGTTTCATAGCCAGCATTAAAAAGACAAACCCTGGTGGGAAAAAAAATGACTTATAAACATGAATTAACTCATGAAACATAGTGTAAATTTTGCAGTACTTGCCTTTGACACAAGCTCAAGAAATTGCCCTAAAAGCTCCTGTAAGGCAAAGAACACAGTCAACAAGACAAAATAGCACACTACAGAATAGGAAAAGATATTGAACCCAATATCTGACAGAGGGCCGATTTACAAAATATACAAAGAACTCAAGAAGCTAGTTACCCAAACAACAAATAATTTAATTTAAAAATAGAGTACAGAAATAGAGAATTCTCAATAGATGAATCTAAAATGGCCCAAAAACACATAAGAAAGAGTTCAACATCAGGAAAATGCAAATCAAAACAACTCTGAGATAACTTTCTTACTCCTGTCAGAATGGCTAAAATCAAAAACACCAAGGACAGTTTATGCTGGAGAAGATGTGGAGGAAAGGGAACACTCCTCCACTGTTTGTGGTAGTGCAAACGCATACAGCCACTTTGGAAATCAGTACAGCCATTCCTCAGGAAAATGGGAATCAGTCTACCTCAAGATTCAGTAACTCCAGTAATGACAGATTTTGAAAATTCCTCACTTAAGGACTCATTTTCCCTGGGGAACAGAAAGGTGTTGAGATGGGGATTAGTGAGGGGAACAGGATAGGACAAGAGTGTATGGGAATGGGAACTGGGAATGACATGTAAAACAAGCTCGCAAATTTGTTTCAAATTTAAATTTAAAAATTATCCAAAAAAAAAAAAAAAGTTTTTCCTAAACTCGATGACTCTCAGGAAACAAATAAGGCATAAAAATGATATCTGAAGCATAACCAAAATTCTGGATTTTGGTTGATGTTTTATAGGAATGTGTGGAGTAAATAGAGTACACTGTTTTGTCTCTTATTCATACGCTGTATTGTCTCTTATTCATTTTAAAACTCAATTTGTTATATAACTAATGTTCCAATAGTATACAAGAAAAGTACAATAACAGAATATTTTCCAAACTGAATGTACTTAGTGACCAATGATCCATGCTAATGGAAGTTGAGAAAAGGAACTATTTGACATTCTTTGAGGAAAAATCATAGAACAATTATTTTTAAAGTTATTATTTATAGACTACTATGTATATTTTATTCCTAGTATGTATAGACTATAAAATGTACACATATTTGTACATGCTTTATTTACTTATTTATATATCAGACCTTGTTTTAAAATGTAAACATTATGTGGTAGATTTTATTCATTTTAAACCATATATTATTGTTAATGATATGCTGAGATATTATGCCTTTTACAACAGAAGTAGCAATTAATGTTCCAAATATCAACCTAGCAGAATTATCTTCTGATTGAGGAAATATGCCTTTCAAAGTATATAAAAAATAAAGACTCCAGTATATGTGAATAAATTTGGCTGTATAAACTTAAATATAGAATGTGTATTCTCAAAAAGGTCTAAGAGATAGGAGATTCCTTTTCATTGAGTATCAACCGTAAGAGCTATATCCTATGGACATCATATTAGCCCTCCCTATGATCTAGTGTTGGGAGAAATAGGTAATATGGTTAAGGGACACATTTCCCTGCCACATCTTATGCAACTTGTCATTGGCTGGAAATCAATGCCATCATTAGTGATATATGATCAGTGTGAAACAGAAAGTATAAGAGCATCACATCCTATCTACAGTAAGAACAAAGATATCAGTATGCAAAATAATTCAAAGGCCATTCTCAATTTGATTCTATGAAAAAAATAGGAGTTTCAGAAAATTAAATTTAACTGATATCCAAAACATTACTGATTAATAGGTATAATGTAAATAATTTTAAAAACATGTAGAAATGTAAAAATTTCAGGAAACATCTTGACTTTAAAAACAATAACTACATATAACATATTTTTGAGTTTGTATCAACAATATCAGTCTTTTCATATCTTTTGATCTTATGTACCTCCCCAGCATTACAGTCTGAAATAAATATGAGGTTATATATTATTAAAATAAAAACTAAGATATATGCAGTGAATAATATTTCTTATAACAAATGGAGAAAGGAGCCAAATGAAAGAGAAATATAGGAGTGATGAAACAAAACATGGAATTTTAAAAATCACTATGAAAAAATATATTGATGAGTTGTGCAATGCAGGAATAAATGAATGAATGCTGAGAACACACAACCTACTGAGAAACATACTAAAGAGAAATAAATATTCAGGCTAAATAACAAGAAAAGAGATTGGAATTATAAGTCTACCATGGAAAACAAGAAAAGGCAAGGGCATCACTTCTTTTATTTTTATTTGTTTGTTTGTTTATTTATTTATTTATTTATTTTGCTGCTGAATTTGACCAGGAAGTTCAAAATAGTAAAGTACGAAGCATTCTAAAAATCTTATAGAAATTCAAAAAGAAACACTAGTGTGTTTAGTTATTCAAGAAATGGCTGTGTTGATAAGTGAATTTTTATTAAAGACTTATTTATATTTTATGTGTGTGAGCGCTGTGCCTGAATCTTTGTAAGTCTCTGTACAGATGCCTGAAAAGTATAGAAGATTGAATCATATCTCTATGGGGGCAAGAATTACAAGTAGCTGTAGGGTTAGGGAGTGTACATGAAACTGGAACTCTGCAAGAGCAACAATTGTTCTTTAGTGCTGAAGCATCAATATAACTGAAAACATCTAAACTTTTATGTACACTCCAGCTATTGTCACTATAGATAAGTCTATGGAATCAAATTATTCTTCTGTGTCCATGTGCATTTATAGTAGGATATTATTTGGTCAGATCACAACACAAAGTTACTTGTGCACACATATCTTGAAAAATGAAGAATTTTAAGCATAATGGATTATCCTCTCAAAGAGCTGGATGTAAAACCTGTACTTTCATCCATAAAGCTGGGAATTGGAGCTGATTAACAGCCTGATAACCAACAGCCTGTTGGTTCAAACCAACTTAACTCCTTATGACCACAGGTGGGTAATAATCTAAATAACTCCTTGAAACCCTATAGCCTATCCCAGGCTTCTACACTCAGGGACAAAGGCATCTAAAAAACCAAATAAATTATTTGCTATCTGTATTACTAATATCAGGCCAGATATTTCCTGACCCTTAAACTAGTATAGGAAGCCTATTTAAAGAACCCACCTTCTAGGAAGAAATGACATGTATTATGAATTGAGATTCAATGCAATCATGATTCCTTGAATAATAACAGGAAAGTTTTCTTTCAAACCACCACACTGTATTTAAGTTTGCTGGCAATAAACCACCAGGCATCACGCTCACTAGAGTGTAAGTTTGGTTAAGTTTGACAAAGTCAAATTTGATATGAGTTTTCATTCTCACCTGTTTGCATTTCATTTCTCTGATACATGAGGAGAAATATAGCACACATACTAAAAACCCATAGACAGATACTGTGGTTCAACCTCAAGATCAGAAGAATATACAAAGTAATCCAGTAGCTTTTACCAATACTAAACTGAAATGACTGTTCTGCATCCACAAATAGTAAGAGAGACATACTCTTCCTGTCTGGTCAATAAATTTCATATGAAACTTTTTGTTTCTACCTTTTGTACCTCCCTGGTGCTGGATGGAGAACATTAGTTGTGTTACTCTAGAAATTTGCATTACATTGATAAATGACCTGTATAGGTACAATACCTTGAACAAAATTAGAAACATACGTACAGTATCTTTTAACCAAGCAATTTCAAATTTGTGTCAATATTCAATATTTGTATACAATATAGAAAAGTCCAGTCAAGTGTAAAATACTTTAAACTGGTTGTATTTTAGCAGCAGACTGAATAATCTACCTTTTATCTTGTCATGTCTATATCCTTCCTTTTTTTCAAAAGTAGATTCAGTAATCTGCCCTTTATTCCTGTCATACCTGAATTATTTTTTTTTCTCAAAACAAGAACCTTGAATTAAATTCCCTACTCCTTCCTGACCATAACTACCACTTTTTAACCAGTCTTCCTAAACAATATCTATAACCTGATAGTGACCCACCCCACCACTTGGGAATGTGGGCATTGTGTTCTTAAAGTTACTTCCTGCTGTTTGAGGGTGATAAAATCTTAACAGAATGCTGAAAAGAAAACTTCAGGTTAACTGTCAAGCTGCATATTTTTTTTTTCAAGTCTGCATAATGGGAAAGTACAGGGCTTGTATCCATTCCTAGCCTAAGGTAGGCTGTGAAGCTGAATCATCTCATGCAGCCTCCTTGAAATGATTCTAAGAAAAGTCTATAAGACTGGATCATCTCTGATGACCACCTTAAAAAATTTTTGAGGAGTATATGAGGGTGGATCATCTCAGCTGACCAGCTCAAAATTAATCAGAACAGTTTCTCTGAGAATGGATCATCTCTGCTGGCCAGCTTTAAATTGTTCTGAGTAGTTTGTATTCCAAAGCTGGACTTTAGTTGCTATTGTTCAGCTTAATAGGGTTATCATAGTCCTGCTAAAATTGTTGTTGGGTTTCTTTCTTCTTTATGTTTTGTTTTGTCTTTCATGACAGAGTTTATTTTTGTTAACAGTCCTGAGTGTACTAAAACTCACTTTGTAGATCACTTTGGCCTCAAACTCACTAAAATATGCCTGTTTCCCAAGTGATAGAGAAAAAGGCATGTGTGATCCCAACCTAGCTTACATTCCATCTTTGTGGTGATGTGCTATTTATGATTTCTTAAGGCTTGCCTAAGGATTCATAAAGCAAAGTCAGCCACATGCCACAGAACCTAGGTGCACACCTTTAATACTAGCATCCAGAACCTAGGAAGTGGTGGTACATACTTTTATTCATTGGAACCAGAACAGGCAGATCTCTCTGAAATCAAGGCCATCCAAAAATACATGAGAATAAATTGTTCTAAAAGACTAACAGATCACATGCCCTTAGTCCAACTTCAATACTTTTGAAAATGATTCAATTTGCTATCCTCTTCCTCCAATTCTGTCCAAGCATTCAAAACTGTTGCATGGATTAAAAGTATGAGATGATCATGTTTACATTGCCTTTCTAAAGTAGCATGATCTCCTTCTCCAGGCATTTGATTTTAGAAAATATCTATACTTCTACCATTACCTGATTATTCAATATTCTTAGCCTCTTCTCTGAACCAGGAAGTTCTTTCTAATTATAATCCAGGATCTACAAGATGTTTAATAAAATTTATTCAGCCTACAGGAACAACTATATTATACACAGACTACATGTTTATCATCTGCTTCACAAATGCTGAATGAATGCCATATGAGACAAGAGCCTCCTTGAATTTCCATAAGTCTAATATTGTTAGAGGTTTCCAAGTGGCTCTTCTAAAATCTCCTTTACTAGACGCTTTCTCTAAGGATATATTATAGGTGGTTTTCTTAAGACATCAGAGTGTTTATTTTTAACGTCAAAATGCAGTGCTGAGTTTGATTCTCCAGGTAATGTTTCAGTATGGGATTAAATATCTCCCTAATCTGTTTCAATAAGCTTTCTTAAGGCCTGCATTTTAGCACTCATATGACCCAATATGTTAGGGATAAAGCAAGAATTATCAAAACCACAACAATGATTATCAAAATAATAATTAATAGTATGACAATTCCTGTTGATTCGTAAACCACCCATTATTCCATCATACACAAACCCAATTTTCTCTATGTTAATAGTGTACTCCATTTATTTTAGTGTGGAAAAACCACTCTCTTTAAAACTAATTCCTCCTTTTAAGAATTCCCAACAAACTTACCAAATCTGTCAATAATAATGTATGTGAACTGTGAGGTGTAACATGTCTGAATCAGAGAACTAGCTTCTGGACTTTAGCAGACAGTGTCAGCCAGAGGAGAGGGACTGTATAAAAAAGCTTGGAAGTTTCCTGAATTTGATGACAGCTGAATTCTTACGCTTGCTCAAAGATAGGAGGAATCAGAAGGCAACCTGGTTTGGTTGGGATAGACACAGGTAGGAAAGATTTAGACAGGAGTTCTGTCTGTGGTTCAGGCTTGGACCTGGCCTGGTAGCATCAAAGCATTTGTGTGTGTGTTTGTGTGTGCATGCATGTGTGTGTGAATTCATTCTTTAAAGTAGATTTACAATTGTTGCACATTAAAGAAAAAACCCACAGATTGACATTGGGGTTCAACCTGAAATTGAGGGATCAAATCAGCCAAGCTACTAGAGAGCTTTTGCCTCTAAATGGGAAGGGGCTTTTCTCTTCTCAATGTGGCTAGAGAATGAATGCTGAGTGCTGTAATCTTGCTCCTGTTTTATGTAGCTCACCTAATGCTGGTATTAGGGGCATGTGATCCAAGGTGCTGAGATAATATTTATGTGAGCTGTTTCTCTTTAGGACTGGATCAATCTTGTATAGATCTGGGTGGCTTTGGACTCACAGAGATCAGTATACTTCTTAATCCTGAATCCTAGGACTTAAGGTATATATTACCACGAACTAGTTCCTGTTTGCTGGGATTAATGGTATGCGCCTAGCTGCTTGGCTTCTAAATAAATGTGCTTTCTAAATAGTCAGACAATCTTTAACAAATCATATATTACCATAAAGCATATATTGCCACACATTTTTGTATGTTGTGAGAAGTATCAAATAATACAACAAATACAAAGAATTGAAAACCAGGTCTATTTGGTTTTAAACTTCAAAATATTTAGAGAAAATAATAAAGATGTATAGACAATATTTCTAGTTTTCCTTTTGCAAATAAAAATTGTACCATTCAAAATGACTCACCAAATATTACCGTAATGCATAGCAGGATGGCAATTATTAGTTCTGTTTTGAATCCCATGATAAAAAGAAGTCCCTTGCTAGTGCAAGTCTCTGTGCTTCCACTTTCTCCACAGTCACAGACTTGTATAGTAAGGGTATTTGTGCTTGTAAGAGATGGGATTCCATTGTCAGCAATAAAGATGATCATGGAGAAGACAGGTTCCTCTTTAAGGCTAAAACCAGTTCTATTGGTCAAAATTACAGCTGTGTTATCTAAAAAGGAAAGGCATGTTCATAGTTTTTCTACAATGTAAACAAAATATGAACAAAATTCATACTAAGGGCAAAGACATTTCAATATAATCATATCTGAAAAGTTTAAAAATATATTAAAATATCCAGTCAGAAAGTGAATTATATAATTAGAAGAAATGTTTGAATCAGTCCCAGTATATCCTGAGAAATATAGAAACTATATAGTGAAAAGAAAAGGTTTCTGTACTCACGCATCAGTACTAGTAGGGGCTCTGTAATGATCTATGATGAGCTAAACTTTATTTTCATTAATTGTGCCCAAATTAATTTCACTATACTGGATATGTGTAAGATATTCAGTAACTTAAACTCAAACCCACATACTCTTAAATAGTACACGTTCTAATTAGAAAAAGGCATAATTCAATGTTGAAGAGAAATCCTATTATAATATTCATTTAACTGTGACATTACCAAGTTGTATTTCATATAAATTCCAGGCATACATTTATTACTTGTCATCTCAGTTCCTTCATCAAGAAAACAAATACTGCAAAAATTAGTGAATATTTCAAAGATACCTCAAAGCATAAATTAACATTCATTACTTCATCTATGTGAAAATTTTCTCAAAATCCTAAATATTTAGATGGCCATTTTCACAATTTTCTTCCATCAAATTTTTTTGAGTTTTACCTTTCTAGGCTTTTGGTTCTGTTTTCTATATTTTTTTATCATTAAGTAGCCCTCTGTGATAGCCAATCTTGGTTTACTAGTTCATACAATGGAGAAAATGAAACCTCAGTCAAGGAATGCCTCAATTAGCTTGACCTGTTGGGCTATCTGTGAGGTATTTTCTTAATTGCAAGTAGATGTAGGAGGGCCCAAGCTTTCAATGCCAGCCTTAGACAAATGGAACTACACTTTCTAAGAAAGAGAACCGAGCAAGTGAGAGAAACAAAAAGCCAGTAAACCATTATGATTTCTGCTTCAAGCTCCTTGTCTGGATTCCACCAAATGGGATTGGAAGGCACTTAAACAGTGTCATTTCCGAGATGATTTTAGCCAGTATCATATTACAGCAACATGAACAAACCAGGGCACCATTCCATTACCCTAAATAATATTTGTATCCATAAAACTGGATTGAGAGGTTCAAGACAATACATTCATTTCACTATAAGACTGTGTCTAATTCATAAATTTTTAGGTAAAAAGCACATTTTACATATATAAATATAGATATAATGGGCAAAAAACTCTAGGTTTACTGAAAAAGCTAAATTAAACATTTTTATTAGTTATCATCTTTAAACAGAAGTAACAGAAATGTATCACAAAAAAATAAAAGACCTAGAGACATATATTGGGGTTCAAGTTTCAAGTTGATATCAGAGAAACAAAGCAGACAAACCAGTAGATCTTTCTTCCAGCTCAAATGGCAATCATTTCTCCATGAATCCTCACAAAAAGCTGTCAGTTCCTGTACTTTATTCCTTTCTCTTCCCAACTATGTCACTCCTTTCTCCAGCTCCCTAGTGCTGGTATTAAGGTGTGTAATCCCAAGTGCTGAAATCATCTTTGTGTGAGCTGTTTCTTTTAGGGCTGGATTAATTTTTTATAGTAACTGTGGCATTGAACTAACAGGTATTTGTCTAGATCTTAATACTGATTACTGTAATTAATCACTGCCTAGCATCCAACCTAACTAGTGTGGCTAGCTAACTAGTATGGCTAGCTTTGCACCCAGGACACTCAGGAAAGCTTTACTAAATCATAAACAGTATATATAATCATGCAGAAATTCTATTTTTTTCCAAACAAAATCCCAACTTAACAATATTTATTCTTCAACTAATGAATGATTTGGGTTTTGAAGTAAGAAAAATAATTAATGTTTAAATAAATTAGTGTTGGCAGGTATTCATAATTAGGTCAAGGTCATCTCAGTCTAACTTAAATATAGATTATTAGCTCTTTGTTTTTATACTGATAAATGATAGACTCCAATATGGCAAAAGACAAGTGAGACTATAATGTTTTCTAGTATCTCTAATAAAGGATTGATTTCTAATTTATATGTATATCACAGTGCAATAAATCATGCTCTTAGTCTTACATATACTAGCAAAGCAATTACATCTCTAGTTCCTTGACTCATGATTTCTGAATGTGTTTCTAGTTTGAACAAATGTGAGGAATAACAGAGTCAGTATCTTTAAAATTGATTTTGAGTTGTTTTCAATTTTGATCATTGCTCATTTGATATATTTTTCAGTATTGTACCAATAATAAATAATCAGTTCACCATATCCACTGGTATAAAAGATATTTGATTCCACCAAACACACTTATACATGATGAATTACCTTTATTGTCTCTTAGTATGAAACTTGAGTTGTTTGTGTTTTCAACAGAGTGATTAAAGTAAAACTGGTGATCTTCTATTGACTCATCTCTGTCTATTGCACTGATGGTTTGAATTATCTGGAAATATATAAAGAAGGTTGATTGTTTTTAATTTAAATTTCAAATTGATCAATGGTATTATCTCATTTACATTTCTTAAAGAAAATTGCTTTAGAAACATAATTTGAACTATTGTGCCATTCCTATATTTGTCCCTTACTTAATCATTGGTCTCATTCTTCATCTGATAGCCAGTTACTATGATTTTAAGATGCAGTCATGATGATATTGACTTAAATTTTATGGACATTTTATAGTTATTAGCTTTTTTGCTGACATAATTATTTATGGTGTTATTTTTAGCAATGATGAATTTAAAGCTTAAGGCAATGTATGTTTATCTTTGACCTAAAAAGAAGACAGGAAAATTCTTTCCAATTATAAAAGTGTCACTCTGTATCTCAAATCATAACACTGTGAAGAAAAGCTCATAGAATCAAATCAGTTCTCAATTAATTATTTTATGACAAGACATAAACTTGTTCATTATATTAAAAAATAGAAAACCACTCATGATAACACAGTGAGATTATTGTTAATTCTGGAAATTAAATTCAATATAATAACCACTGTTTTCCATTTTCATCAAGACATCATAAAATGCTCTTAATAGTGTTTCAAATAAAACTTTACTTGAGAGTAAGATATGAGATCCAAAATGATGTTATACTTCAAAGACCAGTTAATTTTTCACATGAGCGTAGATGTGTCACAGTCTATGCATTATGCAACCCTATTGATTTATACTTTCTTAAAAAAATTTTTGTTAAAAATTTAATTATTAAATATAATGATAGAAAACATTTTATTCAACCTATGTTTATGGTAATAGATGAGGTTTTCACTTGTTAGCAAGCCAATAATTTTATTTTAGAATAGTTTATGATTTTGAACACATTAAAAAGAGTAGAAATTTAAGATTGTAGTATTCATAATCCAAATTTGCTACTTGAAAATTTTCTAATCTCAGACACTTTGCTACATTTAAATATATAACTTTAAGTATTTATATCTATTCTCCACTTACCTAGGCTTTTAAATAGCTTTTATGCATCTCTACATTATTTTTCTTTTTTATTATTTTTATTTTACATATTGATCCAATTTCTCTCCCCTTCCCTTCTTCTTTTCCTCTCTCCCACCCTCCCATGCCCCTGACCACCCTCCCCTCCTGCCCACCCCCAATTATATCTAAAGTGATCCCTCCCAGGAGGGGTCATCAAAATCTGTCAAGTCATTTGGAGTAGGGACTAGGCCTTATCTCCTGCCTAAGCTTAAGGGAATGTCCCGCCATGGGGAGTATGCTCCCCAAATCATTTTGTGCACCAGGGATACATCCTCATTCTACTGTCCATGGTCCTTTAGAATGCCCAGACCTTCTAAATGAGACCCATGATCAGGAGGTCTGAGTCACTACCAGGCTGGATTCCCAGCTATTAGGCTGGGGGTCCATTAGCTCCACATTGTTCAGGTCAGATGTGTTTCTGTAGCCTAATTTTCTCCCTCTTTGAATCTGGATTCCAGATTGGCTCAGTGTTTAGTTGTGGGTGTCTGCTTCAGTTTCCATCAGCTACTAGATGAGGGCTTTAAGATGGTGGATAAGTTAGTCATCCTTCTCATTATCAGTGAAGGGCATTTTGTTAGTTGGGGTCAGTCTTGTAGGTTTATGAACTTTTCTCTAGATTCAGTTTTTTCTTTAAACCTATAATGGCTCCTTCTTTTATTCTCTCTCTCTCTCTCTCTCTCTCTCTCTCTCTCTCTCTCTCTCTCTCTCTCTCTCTCCCTCTCTCTCTCTGACTCTTCTCTTTTCTATTCCTACCCTGGCTGAATTTCCTAGTCACACGTTCTTTCCTCTTTTCCCTTTCTCTTTCTCCTCATTCCCTCTCCACTCACTGTTCCACCCCCCCCCCCATTCCTTGCGTGCTCTACAGAACTTGTCCCTTGCCTCTTCTGTGAGGGACATTATATGAATCTCTTAGAATCCTCCTTGTACCCTAGTATCTCTGGCTGTGTGAATTATATAGGCTGGTGATCCTTTACTCTATAGCTAAAATCCACATATGGGTTAATACATACCATGTTCCTCTTTTTTTGTCTGAGCTACCTTATTCAGAATGGTTTCTTCAAGTTCCATCATTTTGCCTGCAAGTTTCAAGATTTCATTGTTTTCTCCTCCAGAATAGTATTCCATTGTGTAAATGTGCCACATCTTCTTTATCCATTCTTTAGTTGAGAGGCATCTCGGTTGCTTCCATATTGCTATTACAAACAATGCTGCCTCAAGCAAACTTGAACATATGTCTTTGTTGCATGGATGTGGATCATTTGAGTATATTTCTAAGAGGAGGATGGCCAGGTCCTGTGGTAGACTGATTTCCATTTTCCTGAAGAACAGCCATACTAATCTCCAAAATAGCTGTACAAGTTTGCACACCTACCAACAGTGGAGGAGTCTAGCCCTTTCTCCACATCATCTACACCATAAGTTGTCACTGATGTTTCTAATTTTAGCCATTCTGACAGGACTACGATGGTATCTCAGAGTTGTTTTGATTTGCATTTCTATGATAGCTAAGGTTGTTGAGCACTTCCTTAAGTGTATTGCATTTTTGATTTCCTCTATTGAGAATTCTCTATTCCGTTCTTTATCCAATTTTTAACAGTGTTATTTCATGTTTTGTTGACTACTTTATCAGTTTTTGGATATTATGGAGCTCAGCCCTATGTCACATGTAGGATTGGTGAAGATCTTTTCCAGTCTTTGGGCTGCTGTTTGGTCTTTTCAACTGTGTCCTCTGCCTTAATTAAGCATCTCAGTTTGAAGAGGTCCCATTTATTAATTGTAGATCTCAGTGTCTGTGCTACTGGAGTTATGTTCAGGAAGTAGTCTCCTCTGCCAGTTTTTCCAAGGACACCTCCCTCTTTTTCTTCTAAGAGGTACAGTGTTTAGGACTTTGATCTTTTTGGACTTGAGTTTTGTGCATGGCGGTAGACATATGCAGTATTCTACACACCATCATCCAGTTGTGCCAGCACAATTTGTTGAAGATGCTATCCTTCTCCCATTGTATACTTTTAGCTGTTTTGACAAAAATCAGGTGTTCATAGATGTGTGGAATCAGGATTTTCAAATTGATTCCATTGCTCAATGCGTATATTTTTATGCCAACACCAGGCTGTTTTCAGGAATATATCTGTGTAGTAGTGCTTAATGTCAGGGATTGTGATGCCTCCTGAATTTCCTTTATTTTTCAGGGTGGTTTTGGCTATCCTGGGTCTTTTTTTTTTTTTCCATAAAATGTTGAATATTATCCTTGCGAGATCAGTGAAAAATTGTGCAGGAATTTTAATGGAGATTGCATTGAATCAGTAGATTGCTTTTGTCAATATTGCCATTTTTACTATGTTTATCTTACCTATCCAAGAGCATAGGATATCTTTTCATTTTCTGGTATCTTCTTTAATTTCTTTGTTTAAAGACACAAAGTTCTTGCTCTATAGGTCCTTCACTTGTTTGGCAAGCATTACCCAAAGATACTTTATATTGTTTGTTGCTACTGTAAAGGATGATGTTTCTCTGATTTCTTTCTTAGCTCCGTTATCATCTGTATATATTAGGGCTATTGATTTTTTTGAGTTTATCTTGTATCCGGCTTGTTTGCTGAAGGTGTTTATCAGCTGTAGGAGTTCCCTGGTAGAGTTTTTTGGTTCTTTTACATAAACTATCACATCATCTGCAATTAGTAACAGTTTGACTTTTTTTCTTTACAATGTGTATTCCCTTGACATCCTTTAGTTGTCTTATTGCATTTGCTAGAAATTAAAGTACAATATTGAAGATATAGGAAAGAGATGGCAGCCTTGTCTTGTTCACGATTTTAGAGGAATCACCTTAAGCTTCTCTCCATTCAGTTTGATGTTGGTTGTTGGTTGACTGTATATTGCTTTTATTATGTTTAGATATGTTCCTGTTATCCCTGATCTCTCCAAGTCTTTTATCATGGAATGGTGTTGAATTTTCTCAAAGGCATCTACTGAGATGATATGTGGTTTTCTTTTTCAGTTTGTTTATATGGCAGATCGTATTGATAGATTTTCATATGCTGAACCATCCCTGTAACCCAGGGAAGAAGCCTACTTGGTCATGGTGGATGATTTCTCTGATGTGTTCTTAGATTCAGTTTGCCAATATTTTATTAAATATTTTTGCCTCAATGTTCATGGGGCATATTGGCCTGTAGTTTTCTTTCTTAGTTGTGTCTTTGTGTGGCTTGGGTACCAAGATGATAATGTAAAAAGAGAAGCCATCTGGCCCTGTTTTTTTTTTTTTTTTTTTTGGTTGGGAATCTTTTGATGACTGCTTCTATGTCATTAGGGGGTATATGTGTATTTAATTTGTTTATCTAATCTTGATTTAATTTTGGTAAGTGATACTTTTCCAGTAATTTATCAATTTCCTTTGAATTTTCAAATTTTGTGGAGTATAGGTTTTCTAAATATGACCTGAAAATTTTATGGATTTCTTCAATGTTGTTTGTTACACCAGCCTTTTTGCTTCTGATTTTGTTTATTTGCCTGTTTTCTCTCTGCTTTTAGGTTAGTTCAGATAAACGTTTCTCTATCTTGTTGATTATCTTGAAAAAACAACTCTTTGTTGCAACTGATTATTTGTATTGTTTTCTTGGTTTGTACTTTATTGATTTCAGCCCTCAAATTGATTATTTCCTGGCATCTATTCCTCTGGCATAAGTTTGCTTCTTTTGGTTCTAAGGCTTTCAGGTGTGCTGTTAATTTTATAAGGTGACTATCCTCTGTTTTCTTCATATGGGCACAGACTGCAATGAACTTCCCTTGTAGTACTGGTTTCAAGGTGTCTCATAAGTTCAGGTATGTTGCGTCCTTATTCTCATTGAATTTTAGGAAGTCCATAATTTTTTTCTTTATTTCTTCTTTGACCCAAGTATGGTGCAATTTCACTTCGTTCAGTTTCCATAACTTTGTACGGTTTCTGTGATTTG